TGAGTGGATTTTGGTCTGGTTTTTTTTTTTTTTTCTTTTTTGTTGATGTTTGGTTGGGGGTTTTTTGTTGTTTGGTTTTTTAGGGGTTTTTTTTTTGTTTGTTTGCTTGCATGCTAGTCTTAAGCAAGGTCATTCTTTTTTCTTAAAGAGAAACAGTTTTGTATCTACTGCTGAATTAAGTAGAATGGATTATGTTAAAATATATATAATATGTAAATAGTGGCTGACTTTAAGCCACTGCAGTGATATGAGTAAGAAATTTAGATTAAACACTTGACTAGATGCACACATAGCATTAATTCTCTATTTATATTTCTCATAGTTATTAAATATAGTGGATAAAATAGTCCTAGCTGGTATTAGGTGACAGTTTGTGTCCATTGGTCTTTTCCTCTGTATGGAGGCATAAGGTCCGGGTGAAGAGCTACAATTGGAATATTTAAGCTGAACTAGAGATTGTCATTGTAAAGGGTTAGTCTTTCCCAGTGCTGCCATATTAAGCCTTTTAGTTAGAACAGTTTTATATATACATATTAGTCACAGTTTACATTATGAAAATAATGCTTTGTGGGTTTGATTATTTTTTTTATTCTGAAGGGTCAGTTTTCATCAAGTCCTATTCAGGGAGGAACAAGAGCTTATAGTCTGGGAAGTATAACCAGTCCCCCATTTTCAGAGCGCTCTCCTGCACCTAATGGTTCTCCTGCTTTTTCACCAATTGCATTTCACATAAGAAAAACACCACTCTCAGGTATGATTTAATTGTATATGCATTACTTGATCTTGAGTAATATTTTTATTATAAAAACTTCTGAATTCTTAGTGGAACGTTTTTCTGTTTGGAGATGAGTTTCTGTGTTTGGCTGACCAGCCATCTCCTGTATAACACATCAGCTATTCAGCCGTGAAATTGTGAAGCAATGAAATGTTTGTGCTTGCAACTGATCAGCTAGGGAAAATACTTTGGAAGAAGGCATTGAGACTCAATAAGAATGAAGAAAAGTTAAAAGGGTTAATTTAATCTAGTATAGGAGGGGTTTTAAAGTCACATGCCTGAAGTCACTTGGGTTACAATTCTGATGTGGCCCAGACAGAAGCATTTTAATGTCAATGGGCAAAGAATGTTTAGCTTGAGCTTTCAAATCATGCCATCATGAGGATTATTTGAAATAAAATGACTAATTAAGAAATCACAAACATTTTGTGTCCTTATTGCTCTAGAAAAGGTCACTGTTTCATGCTGTGTCCGTACCTGGTAAGGCTTAATGCCTTGTTCATACATGATTGCACACGTTTGGCATGATTATATATATATTTGACTTTTACATGTTTTGATTAATGATATTTTACACCATTATATATGGAGATTACACAGGTGTTTTCTCACTTGTTTGATCTTAAACTTCATTGCTACCAAAAATTTAAATTGCTGTAGATTGTGTATTGACATTCATTTAGGAAAAAACAAATGGGGGACTAATGGACTACACTAAACAAGCCTTCACCCATTTCCCTTTGAATACTGTATAGTAATGACATTTAAAAATACAAGGTCTCCAATACAGCAAACCATATAATAGAAAAGAAATTTGGTGGGATAAAAACTTGCCTTTAACATGGTAGCTGAAATGTTTGGGTTGGTGGGTTTGGTTTTTGGAGTTGCTTGTTTGGTTGGGTTGGGAGGCAACGGTCAGTGAAATACTCTGTAGTTATAAATTGCTCCGTGGACTGTGGGGCCTTGAGAATGATGAATTTTTCTATGAGATATTAGAAGTTAAACTTTGCTCATTTTTTTTCAGACCAGAGAAAATTTACATTTCGTTCACCAGATGTTCCTTCTTCCTCAAGTAGAATGACACCCCCCAGTACAAGGAGTCCTTACATAGATGGTTGTTCTCCAATTAAAAATTACTCTCCTATGAGACTTGGAGCCTGTAGAGGAACTGCCCAATATCAGACTTCTGTCATTAGAATACCAATTACAGTTGAGAACCATGATGAGGAAGACAAGGAAAACACTTCTCCAGCAGAAGCTCGGTTCCCAGAAATGGATAATGGAATAAACGTACATCAGGAAGACAGTGATACTTTTGCACATGGTACACATCTCGTGGTGACAACTGTGTCTATTGCACCAGATCACTCAGAAGGTTGTCATCAAAGGTTGTCATCATTTCAGGATATAGAAGGTTTAAAGGAAAATAATACTGTAGACATGGCTGATGCAGCTGAAGTGTCAGAGGAAAACACTTGGATGAAAGAAACAATTGGCAGTAGCAATACACCAATGACCAGCTTTATGACAGGCATTACTTTCAGTATTGAAAGCTCTCGCATGTGCATGTCACCTCTTGCAGAAAGCAGTGCAATTCCTTGTGATAACAGTAGTATTCAGGTGAAAATACATTTTTTTTGTTTCTCTGTAAAACTGAGCTCAACATAACTTGGAATACATGTACTAATCTGGAAGTAATTGTTATTTTCTCTTACCGGGTATGACGTACAGGCGGTATTGTGACTTTTATCCTTCATCCCCTCTTTCAGTGGAGTTAGCATGGTAATTATTTTTGTGTTGCTATGTACATTAGTATAATATTTAACTTGATCCAAACTATTGCTGACACACCTGCTTACAATTTGATTTTATTAATCAGTCATAGTTGGTTTGTTGGATTAAGTTCTGCTAATCAAATGCAAATCATATTAGGTATCTGAGGGATTTGTGTTAAATGACAGTACGTTTTTCAAGCCCTGCTTTTTGATTTCAGGTGGACAGTGGTTACAATACACAAACTTGTGGAAACAGCATTATGGATACTGCAGGAGCTGAAAACAGTTGCAGAGAAAATGATGTGAACACTATCGTGTTTCAGAATAAATCTCAGCTGCTTAGAACAAAGGTAGGAGTTGTGGTACAAAAGTGATAGGCTGCCCATCTAAAGCATCTGTTCCCCATTTTATTTGGTTTCAGGAAGCCTGGGGAAAGAGACTATCAGATAATAATAAAGATGTTAATGTAGTGTCATTTCAGAGACTATGTTGAATAAATACAGGACAAATATCTTAACCTGGCCAACAAATAATGTTTTATGCTAAAAGTAAAGGTTGTTTCGGAGGAAACTGAGATGTATGCATGAATAGTTGTAGTGAGTCTGTTCATGACTATTGTAGTCCGTCTCTAATTTTTGTTTCTTTTGTTCATGCTGCTTCATTTATTGCTAAGTTTTAAACTTGTGCCTGTGGAGAAGGACATTTCTGGGGAAAATTCTCTGCTGCTAGTTTTTATAAACTTAACATCAAGTCCTAGACCATACCTGGCATGCTGACTTGCTGGGGAACTTTCTGCGTGGATACAGTCTTTTTACAAGCCCTTTGAGGACCTATCTGAAAAGCACATTACAAAAGATAATACATATCTAGCAAAGCTCCTAACCCCTTGATCTTGTGACTGATAGGAAAGATTTCTACTTCTTCCAGAGAATTGGAAGCAAGCCTAGTTTCTTTGGAGAAGAGAGCAAAGATCATCTCCTCTCAGTAATTACAGTCACACAGTGCTACAAACGTAGTAGTTTGGATCTGCTATGTCTTCAAAGTCCTTCAAGGGGACACAGTACTGACCATTAGTACCAGATTATAAAAAACCTCAAGTAAACCCATTCAGCCCTAACTTCACTTCTGGATTTGACATGCCAAAAGCCACTTCTCTGCCAAGGGGAAGTGCTGACTGATGGTGTCTTACAGACCACTGGCATCAAATTTTAAACTGTTCACTTAAGACCAGGACAAATGTGCCCTTACAAGAACAATAGAAATATATTTTGTCATTACCTTCTAAAAATCCTCATCCAAGATCCTGCCCCAGTCACCCTGTTGGACAAAGATTTTATGTGTGCAAGTACTTACCAGAATCACTTGTCTGGTATCAAACCTGTCCTAGAAGGACTTACCAATGTCATGCAGCTGCCTTTTCCCAGTGTTAGTCTTTGAACTGCTGGGTCTTGACTAAGCCAAATTTTACATTTTAGATTAGGAGTAAAGTGTGAAGGCATTAAGTGCTTCACAACTGAGAATCCTCAGGGAACAAAAAGAAAAAATTACAGACATTGCTGGCTGAAAGATTGAAGTCAGGCTCATTCAGACATTCATGTGAGCCTTGAAATGAGGTATTTCATGCAGACAGCATCTTTCAAAGATCTGTGTAGAGAAAATGTGTTACTTAATTTCTTTCTCATTTCAGAAGGGTAGAGTTGGTACTTAAGGTACTTACTATACTTGAAATTTGCAGTAATATTGGATCTTGGTTTTTTTTGAGAATTTCTTTTAAAATTGTTTTAAAACTTAACTTTTTCTTGTTCACCTAGGAGTGCTCTGTTTTAAGCCATAAGGACAATCAGTTGCTGAGAACAAAATCTCCAGAGAAGCAATCCTGTTTTCAAAAAGCCAAAACACATAGCACAATATTTGGTCAAAATGCAACTTGCAACATTTCTGCTTGGAAACTTAAAAATGAAAATCAAGTTCAGGGATTTCACAAAAGTGGTATGTAGTTTTCTGATGGAGAACTTAATCTGTGGTTTCTAATGAATTTTTATACATATGACCTCAATTACCTGGATTATATATACTATTTTGCTTTTATAATGCAAATGTAATAAACTGTTTGGTATATATTAAGGGAGTTTTTAAATCATGTGGGATTTTCGGGACAGTGTTTTTTTCAGAATTTTATTCCTTCTGTGACTAGGGTGGATTCCATGAGCAGCCTAGGATAACTTGCATAGGAACCAGTGCGTCTGTAAAATCACTTATATTTTAAGATTTGTCCCTCCTAAAGGCATGAGGGAAATTCTTCTTTGTGGGAAAGAAAAAGTGGAAGGGGTATTAGTTTGGTTTTGGATTGCTTTTCTTCAACCAGATATACTGTGTGGCTTCATAAATACTACCACTAGTACCAAGAGTAAGTCACTGGACAGAAGTGAACTGCTGGGGTGTGATGAGAGCAAATGCCAAGTTTAGTTCTCTTGGAAATATAAAATAAGCTTTATGTCAAAAGAAGCTGTTTAGTAATTCTCTGAACAGCTTTTCCTTGGTTTGACAGAAATCTGGGATGTTAGGTTTAAGTAAAATGTATTTTTGGTTACCTTAAAATTAAAAGATAGTGTTGTTGCTTTGTTAATTGTATTAGTACTAAACTCGGAGTTGATCACCTGACACTACCAGTGTCTCTGAAGAACACTTCTGTCCAAATTGATGCTCTGGTACTCTTTGGAAGGAACCTAAAAAAGGTGCAATAAGATTCATTGGTCTCAGTACTATCACTAAGAAAATGGTGCAGCCTTTCTTCTAGAAAAGTAAACCATTATACTTTTACTTCACTCTTATGCTTAATTCCTAGTAGTATTATGTTGCTTACAGAAATTACCAAAATATTTAGATAAATCCTTAAAAATATAATTAACTTTTGCATGCCTTTTATTTATTACCAAAAGTATTAATAATTAAATTTCAAGAAAACCATCAATGAATTAAATTTATGTATTTAGAGGGGGGTCAGAAGCCCAGAACTGCCTTTCTGTAATCAAATCAGATTTAGTTGAATTTGCTTGTATTTATTTAAAAGAACCTTCTGGAATTTATAAATGTGAATAAGGGGAAAAATCTATGTGGTAAACTTGTGGAGCTAGTGACCAAGAGGGAAAGAAGAGATAAGGGATACACTGGTATTTCTGGGCTCTGTTTATGTAGAGCTCTAGTAAACTTTGTTGGATTAATGAAAAAGTGTTCCAGATGAAGCAGTCTTCCTTTCTTTTCATAGCAAGGATATCCCATACTGGGTGGAAGTTCTGCTTTCTGTTCTATTCCACAATCCACAGAGAAATGTGTAGCAAAGTGACCCGACAGTGGCTGATGAGCAGCTATTGGCACACTAGGCCTGAAACCTATTGGTCACATCTAAATTTGAAGGCAAGACAGCATTTGAAAGAAAATTTAAAAAGGGGAGGTGTGAACAGAATCTCTTGGCATTAAAATCAGTGTGCTAGACCTGAGAGGTGTGTGTTGTTTGAATAGACCACTTCTTGAAATAATTTCATTAATAATTTCCTAGTGAAGGCTTTCTGAAAAGCATATTTAAGAAAAAGGGAAACATCTGTCTGCATCACTTGATTGTAGTTCTCACATTGCAAAAATAAATACTAAAAACTTTACTTTAGAAATCTAATGAGCAAACGTGTATTTTTACTCCTGTAACAGTTTAATTACTATTTCTGTAATGCATGTGGGATTGACAGTAATGGAATCTAGTGTCGTATATTAGTTCTATTATCTTCAAACAGTGCTCTACTAGAAGCTGGAAATACACTGAATTGGTAACTGTTAAGAAATGAATTTTGGTAAAAGTAGGAGATGATCTCAGACTTCTGGAAAACTAATTTTATAGAATAGGGCCTTCAAAATGTTTTAGCTTTAGCGTCTAAGTTTTGTCACTCAAAAGCAGGATACAACTTGTCTGAGTGACGTATGAGCTTGTGTAATTTCTGTTTCTCATTATAATTTTTACAACAATTAATTAAAGGGACTGTAAAAAGGATTTATTTTTGCAATTGTGATTATTAAATAGTAATGTAAATTTAATGAATGTTAAGCAGGGTAGCCCAAATTATGTGTTTCTGAATTTTTCTGAGTTGCGTGTTTAATTTAAGATTTGGTTTTGCTTTTTAACTAAGATTTTGATTATTTTCATAATATGTTAATTGATCAGAGGCTTTTGAAGTATTCACAAGTAAAAAAGCAATCCCTAAAGTACTTAATTTCATCCTGTATTAGTATTTTCTTAAAGCTAAGAAAATAGAGCAGAAATGGGTGAATGTGAGAAGTGATTGATGCCCCCACCCCGATTGCCTGTATTTTTTGTCCTGTTTTGTAGATTTCAGTTAGATGGGAAATATTTATTTTATGAAACATGCCTATTTTTTTATTATGTTTGTACAATTGATTTGTAGAAGAAACCTGCTGTGCAAAGTACCATGGAAATCACTTGACCATTTTATTTCTGTAATTGTTCTTAATGAATTGGTTGGCACACATTGCACAAAACGGTCATTGTTTACATTAAATTAATATCAGTAGTTTTAACAAGAGTCCTTTAACATGTCTAATGGTAAACTGAGTAATGAAACAGAATAAAGACATTTGTTTAATACCTATGTTGTTAAATTACTTCTTTCAGTTCAGAGGTGCTAAAGAGAATGCACAGAAGTGCTGACTTCTATCAAACTCTCAAACCTTCCTTAAGGCTATTAACAAGAAACTCTACAATAATTTCTTCACTTTACAGAAGTATTTATTTTCACCCACAGGACAAAGGTGTAGATATACATGATTTTAAAATTTGTTCTACATTCATCATCATAAAAAAGTAGCTTTAAAAAAATTCTTTACAGATTATTAAAATGTGTATTTAAAAAGTAAACAAAACCTGCTTCTAGCATTTTTTTTTCCCCATAGGGAAAAATTCGTAAATGCAAGTCCTTGTAACTTCTTCCTAACTTTTATTTCCAGCTATTTTTGTCGCATTTTCTTTTTCTCTGGTTCTTCCTTGCTGCTTGCCTCTGCAGAGAGACTTGCATGCATCTCATTTCCTAATATCTAAAGTAAGAAAAAAACAGAAGTCAGAACACTTTTATTCAATTTTGCTATTCTAGTAAAACTTGAGTTTACTTGTACAGACCTTTTATAAACACTGTGCCAACATCAGAAATTTCTGAGTTAGGTAATCACTTAAAAGAGGGTCTATCATCTTAGAACAATCAGAGGTAGAACACTCACCTGAAATATAAGCTGAAAAAGGAAAAGAGAAGCAACAGGACCCCTCCTGACAAAGCCAGCATCATTGTTAGCAATCGTACCATCAGCTTTTCTTTGTGTTTTCAAAGTGTCCCTCAGACTAGAGTAATGGCCTCAACAGAAGCTCTTGAAAAGCTAAAGTTGGTGAGCACAAGCAAAGGGCAGCTCAACATGTGAATGTATATCAGAACACACGGGCTCCTCTCGGCTACAATTTTTATTTTCTAGTCCCAGATTTTGAAATCACAGGGATTCACCTCAACCCAGGCTGAGGGATGGACAGATCAGAGCAGCTCTGCTGCGAAGGACTTGGAGGTGCTGGTGGATGAGAGGCCAAACATGACCCAGCAATGGGCACTCACAGCCTAGAAAGCCGAACGCATCCTGGATTGCATCCAAAGCAGTGTCAGCAGCACGGACAGGGAGGGAATTCTGACCCCACCTGCAGTGCTGCATCCAGCTCTGGGGGTCCCAGCAGAGAAAGGATTTGGACTGAGTTCACAGGAGAGCCAGAAAAGTGATCGGAGGGCTAAATAAAACGGCTCTCCTGTGAGGAAAGGCTGATAGAGCAGGGTTGTTCAGCCTGGAGGAGAGATTCTAGGGAGACCCTCGAGCAGCCTTCCAGGACCTGAAAGGAGAGCCTACAAGAAGGTTGAAAAGGCACTTTTCACAAGCACACATCATCCAGTGACGGGAAAGGGGGACTGGCTTCCCCCTGCCCCCACTTGAAAGAGGGTAGGTTTAGTTTATGTTTTAGGAAAAAGTGCTTTATTCTGAGTGGTGAGGCACTGGAACAGGTTTCCTAGAGAGGATGTGGATGCTCCAATCCCTGGAAGTGTTCAAGGCCAGGCTGGATGGGGTTTTGAGCAACCTGATATCATGGAAGGTGTCCCTGTCTATAGAATTGGGGAACTGGAACTAGATGATCATTAAAAGGTCCTTGCAACCCAAACCATTCTATGGTTCAAGCTCATACAACAGCTCAAGACTCAGAACATATTTACATGATTTCTCAAGGAAAAAAAAATCATGTTTCATTGTATAAACACAAAGAAGCTCTTGCTTATTTTGGCTTGTCTTTTTCCTCTGTGGTAAGGTATACTCAATTGATGCAATCATCTGTTTATCAAGAAAGTTACGTGTACATTATTCTAAGAGCACCATTTTGTAATGTCATGCAAAATACTTATCAGGCCTAAAGTGTGAGAGCAGGTGAAACTCCCTGTGTCCAAAATGCCCAAAGAAGCTAGAACTGAAAAGTCTTGAGACTAGAGACAGTTATTACGACATTAGAGTTCTTACATTATCAAGAGAGAATTTTTATATTGTGGGAATTGTAGGACAGAACTGCCATTGACACTCGGCAATTATACAGAGCTGAGCCACCCATCACAGTTACAGTGTAGTTCACTATAATAAAGAGACCACCCTACCAAATTTGGGCAAATTTTCAGAGGAACACCTAATTACAGAACTGTGAAATTCAATACATTCCTTCAGCAAATCATTATCATTCCCAGCAGTGGAAATATCCTGATGGGCCTAGAACAGAAGTTTAATTTAGAAGGCTCTATTTTTTTTCAACAACCAGTGAAGGCAGACCTGAGTTTTATTGAGAGTGGATATGAAGCAGTCATTACAAGCTGCTGCTAAATTATGTTTTTTCTTCTGAGTTAAATTTCAATTTTACCAAATGATGATTTTTTTAACAATACTGAAGGATAATATGGTTCTAAGAATTTTGTGCCTTACCTTGGGTTCCACCAAGACCATCCGCATTTTCTGATGTTGGATGTTGGAATCATCTAACATAATGTTCACTTTAACTTTATCAAACATACATAATGTTGTGTCTTCCACAGTAAGTGATGGCACCTGAAATTTCAAATTTTGTATAAATACTACTTGCAACAGCTTATGTTTTTGTACAAAGCAGTACCTTTGTATCAAAATAGCACTGCTACATGTAAATAAACCAAAAATTACTATAGTGAATATTCAGTGTTGTAGTATGTGATAAATGCATTTTCTGCAGTAATCACATAACTAGATGTTAGCACTATCTATTACAGAAAGAAATTCCTGTCAGAACCTACTCATTTAGACTTACAAAGACTATAGTGGCATTCATTACTACTAGAGATTAATGAACTTGTATTTAGAAAAGTCTCTCTTACCCTTCTATATCCAACTAGAATAGAATTTAGTCATTCTGCTTGCTTACCAAATAAAAAAATAAAGGTGTTTAAGAGCAAACCTTAAGAATAATAGTAAGAACATACCTCACTTTTGTACTCCAGTTTTGGTGTTGGTTTATCTTTTTCTTCAAAGAAGACTGTTCCTTCTAACCCATACTTGGGAATCAGAACAACTATTGCATTTTTTCTTACAAATAATATATATGCATCTTCATTTACTACTCCCTTGGTTTTGAAGAACAGCTGTAACAAAAACAGAACACACAAATTAAAAAAAGCACTAGAACATTCTCTTCTGAATCACAAATATACTATCTCAGAAAAACAAAACGTTCAAGTACACAGCTATACTTAGTGATAATTACACAGCATATCCTGACAGCAGATTTTAAAAAATCTTATAAACAATTTATAACATTACTGTAGGATTAAGCATTCATATTTATAAAAGCACAAAACTAAAAGAATCCCCAAGATGCCATTCTGAATTTTTCAGAATAAGCAAAATAATGTTTTAAGCTTTTTGTTAGAAGCATCCCTCAGCCTTTATCATTTCTGCACTCTGGTTTTGCTCTGGCAGTGTTCATAGTTAAACATAACATCTCAGAACTACTTACCTGTGTATGGAATGCCACAGAGGCTCTTTGTGCATATTGTGCCATTTTATGTCGGTAATTGAGATTTTTACACATCTCTGCCAGTTTGTGTTTATCTGTGAGGTCTGGGTAAGTAGTGTCTGCTCCTATGGCCACGGCCAAAAGCCGATGGACTATGATATCAGCATACCTGCAAAGATGAGGTTAAAATCATCAGTGACCTAGTAAGACGTAGTTTTTCAAACTTAATAAAAAGGTTTCTGAACATATGTTTGTTTTTGTGAATCTTACAGATTTAAGTTTTTGGAATTAATGACGATGTTCTATCAACTCCCTCTATTCAGCATCCATCTCTTTCCTGACCAAAGATGTACTGCAAAGCCAGAATACTGTTTGCTAAGATCAATTCTTCATTGTGCCAGAAAAATGAATAAAGTTGAGTTTTTGGACTGAAGAATGATCTTTCGCCATGGCAAATTACGACAATCCTTCTTCCCTTTCCCCTTTAAATTAGACAAATTTTGTGTAGAATAGTATCTCAATGCCACAGATCTGCAAAGCATAACCACATTTGAATTTCTTGTTACGTAACTTATTAGAATTTCAGCGAGGAACGTTTTAATACATCTGGTACTTCAGTGAGAAACTTTTTAATACATCTGGTAAGAACTAAAATTTACCATTTGGACTCCTAGAAGTTCTACAAATTATCCATAGAAATGCATATGAATTTTAATCCACATCCAAGAGATTGGATTGGATTTCACTTGAAATGTTTCTCAGGAGCACAGTAACATTTTTTTTTCTTCAAAACTCAGTGACTTCTTGGTCAGATGAAAAAACTAATGTACTTTTCCAAGAAGTACGATTTCACTGCATGGAACAGCTACCAATAGCAATACCAATAGCAAGTCCCCAGTTACCAGTGTTTTCATAAGGAAAATTCAGCCTCCTCAAAATTTAAACAGTTTCAATCTCAAAAATGACTGAGCAAACTCTGTCTCAGTCTCTGGCTACGA